CCAGGTCTCCGTTATCCCTATGACATCATAATTATTTGCATCAAGCAGGAGGATGAGCAGGAGGACGAGCTTCTCCTGCTTATTCCTCAAGCTGCTGGCTTTTATGTACAGGCAGGCAAGTGTCCCTTTGGGGGCTCTTGCCTTTCCCACAGATTGTACCAGGGCTGGGGCAAGGGTGGGCTCCCTTAAGTGCCTTGGCCCGCTGGCTTCGAAAGGGTTGCTCAGCAGGCCAGCAGTGGCAGTAGTCCCCCTGTCCCTCAACAGGCTTAGTTTAAAGCCAGGTGGAGCAGGTCAGCCAGTTTGGCTGAGAAGAGTCTCCTCCCCAGGGGAGAGAGGTGCAGGCCATCTCTTCCCAGCAGCTTGCTGCCTCTCTTGCCAAAGAGCGGGCTGTGGTCATGGAAGCCAAAGCCTTCCCGATGACACCAGCGCCACAGTCTTTGGTTAACTACGTGGATCCTCCTCTCCCTCCTCAGCCCATACCCCAAGACTGGGAGGATCGACGAGAACACCACCTGTGCCTCCAGGCTCTTTAGCCCTGCTCCCAAATCCCTGTAGCGCCTCATGACCCGGCTGGGAGCGCTCCGAGCTGTGTCATTGGTGCCCACATGAATCAGGAGCATGGGATAGATGTCTGTGTTACATGATGAATGTAAACTTACTGTGTGTTCCAATATATATTGTTAATATCATTTATTATGGTAGTAATATGTTACAGTACTTGCATTTTAATCAAACTACTTTTTTTTTTTAGTAAAGAATGCACCCAGGATAGCCCTTTTACTTTTCTGTATCACCTTCCCTGTTAATCAGCATCCCTTATTATATACCATGCTCTAGATCTGATGGAAAATGTTAACAGCTGTGAATTAATAGCTTATATAATGTTTTACTTTCCAAGAAGAGGTCTGTTGCATATGTATCACAAATGAAATTCGTTATGAAGAAATATTTCTGAATAAAATACAAAATACTGTATCCAAAATAGGCTCATCTTTTCTAGGGAGCTGGAAACATTGTTTATAGGCAGCTGCTCTCCAGTTTTATTCCAAGTAAGTGTGTATATGTTTTGAGTATTTATGTCTGTATGCTTCCTACAGCAGCTCCTGGATAGATATTTGATAGAGATAAGTGCTGTAGCTTGATGGTATTGCTTAGGTGGAAAAGTGTCATGTTATATAAGGGTAAAAAGTGAAACTAGAGACTTTTTAATTCCAATTTGGAAAGGTATTGGCACAACAACTATTGTGTTTAAAAGCACAATCTTTGATTGTATAACAAATCATTACATTTCAATGGCTCAAAAAATAATGGGTTGCTGAGGCTGCTCATTAGTACCAACCCATATTAAAAACATCCACTTAACTTTCACAGGAAGCTTTATTCTATGGTCTCTGCATAAATTTATATTCAGTAAAAATAAGGCCTGCATCTTAATCTTTTTGCCTTTAAATTTCTATTAGTAATAAACATGTTTAAAATGGGATGCTTATTTTCTATAATATACAGGTAATATCACTTGCCCATTTTTCTGAGATATTAAAACAGGCGGCTTGGCATAAAACTAGCTAATAGTTTGCATCTTTCTTTGAAGGTGTTGGGTAACTTGGTGGCTTATAACACATAAAAGGATTAATAAGATATTAAAAAAGCATTTTTCCACACTAAACCTAATTGTGTCACTCCTGTAGTATGCAACTAATATACAAATATCATAATCACATTGAACTTGTGGACATTTTTTAACTTACTTGTTACTAGTAATACATCTGTCCATTTAAGTAATATAACACTTTATTAAAAACAAAAATAAAAGTCTATCCAACTAGATAAGGTTAGATATCTGGAACAACATTCTACTCTGCTACAAGTATATTTGACAGGTATACAAATTTTGATATCTCAATCACCCACAACATTATTCTTCACGTTGCCTAATGGTCTGAATCATTCTAAGATATTCAGATTCCTTTTGGGGCTACATTTGTACCATATTTGATCAAGTTTGTTCTACCTACTGATTCAGTACTTCCAAAGAAACATCAAACTCAATTTATTCTCTATTATGCTAACTTTGCCATGAATACACAGAAAGACTTTGCAAATCTGTGATATCATCAATGCGATTAGTGGTTGTTTGACAATGAGCTTGGCTATGTTCGGTTTGCCAGCAGTTACATATATCCAAAGAACAATGTAAATTTTATTTCCTTATAAAATCAACAGAGAGAGCTAGATGCCCAATTTCCCCTATATAGGAATGAGAAGAGAGAGGAGACTCTGAAGGGCAATTTAGAGTACCCAAGTAACAAAACAAACAAACAAACAAAAAAAAGCAAAATGGTCCTCCTGTACTCTGGATCTTAGCTAATTATATAACACTGAATCAAGCATCTTAGTTCACTTCATTCTGAGCTTCTAATTATTCTTACAGTAAGCATTGTGAATTTGGTGACACTGACCTTTTTGTAAAATAATTTGGTAGTTAAAATACTCCAATAGGAAGCTCGAGACATGGACTTCTGGCTCACCTCAACAGGTCGGTTATCAAATCTGTATGTCTGAATTTCTCAGAGTGCCCAAGGTACCATGCTGTTATCAGCCAGACTTTCATTGGGGACTAGGCATCTAGCTCTGCTTTTCCTTTTTAAAAAGGTGGTCTGGCAGTGGCAATGAAATTCATTTAGGAAATCTTCTAAAGAGGAAATACGATTATAGGAGCAGGGAAAATAGGATAAAAAGGAAAACAATAGAAAGTGAAAATGAGACAAGAATAAAGAAAAAGAATAGAAAATAAAAAGGAGGACAGAAGATGAAGAGATATATTTTTTTATTGTGCAGAGATTAAAATTCTACAAGGAAATTCTCATCTCATTTTCAGTACTGGTATCCAGAATGTCA